GCCCTACTTAGGAGCCTCAAATATTTTGTCAGAAGAACATTCGAGAAACATTTTCGTGTTTATCATCCGAGCAACATAAATATTCTCCCCCATGTCATCAAGAATGAAATTTTTGTTTGTGTCCACACATTTGGCGGGGGAGAAACTCTTAACATAGGCAGCCAATTTATCGTAAGCAAGCTTATCCTGCCACTCGAGAGGAAATTTTGCCTTTAGCTTCGTTACCTCTTGACCATCCTCTATCTCGACTAAACGATCGTATAAAATGGCCCACACCCGCTTCAGAAATAGGCTTTACGATATAGAACATGTCCTTGAAATGTCGGACAGATTCCAGGTATGGTGGAAACAACTTCACGAACTGCTTGAACGACACCCAGGCCTATCGACCCTCGACCACCTGCAGCTGGAGGTGGAAGATTCGGAAGAACAAGGTTAAAGTAGCGCCAATCTCAAGGTATCAGCAAACAATATTAAATGCCTGCATGAACGCAAGCGCATTCAGGTGGAGTTAGGAAGGCGCTAGGTTTAGCCATTGAAAAAACCCCACTTGAAAATCAATAAAAGGAAAGCGCATCCCCGTCTCCTTGAAAGCAAACTCATACATAGGGAAGCGCTTGGTCGAGAAGGATGAATCGATCCTCATGTGCTCATTTGGAATGAGAGCCAACCAGGAGGCAGGAACATCATCTTCCTTCTCCTCGACGATGTTGAACGCGTCAGAAGGGTCATGAATGAACTGAGACATCAGATCCCTGGGTTTGGGTGCGACCCAATCTAAAGGGTTCCTTGCACCCGCATTTTCCTCGCTATTAGACTCGGGAAAAATGACTTCTTCGACTGGTTAAGCCATCTTACCTGAAAAGCAGGGGAAAATAGTGAATTCGACATCATCAAATTCACCCTTCCACCTCAAGTCAAATGAAAGGGCGAGGAGCTCCTCGAGGGAGGGTCCTCGACTCAAGCCCTTGATGGCTCACGCAAAAGGAAGCAACTCCCCTCAGGTAAGTACAAAAGCACAAATACTCCCCCCGACGGAGTAGCTCGTTCAAATTTTTCTAAGTTACGGGGACGAATCCCCGGGGTGGACCCGTATGAAGTTCATCTAAAGATTATGAATCTTTATTCAAAACTCATGAACTTCATTGAAAAACTCATGGATGTTCATCCGAAGTTCATAGGTTTCATTCAGAATTCATGGACTTCGCCAGAAAACTTCATCCTTTCATCTAAAACCCTAATGTAAAATAACAAGTTTAAGAAAATCTCTTACTTTGAGTGATAAATGATGGAGAAACCTACGGCGGTGGTGACAGCAACAAAACAACTTGCAAACGGAGGAGAAGCAAGAGGAGATCAAATGTAAAAATTCTTAAGTGACTTTCTTCACTTCCTTTTATAGCTAGTCCCCAGGCAATGATGATGTTCTGAATAGCCGCCACATGTGGCATGCGAAGTGATGGGCCCTTTGGGCTTCAAAAAATTCCACGTGAAACCATGCAATAACGTTGTTTTCAAAGTCTTCATTGTCGAACACATGCTCGACATCGTTTGCAGCATTTTCCCTACGGGCATCCCGAGAAGACACTCAGGGAAAATTTCCCTGGGAATGCAACACACTTTCTCACCCGGCTGCCTCGAGGAGGCAAGCTCGAGGGAAACATCTACGCTTTCCCCGCGAACAGAGGCACCTTCCGAGGAATTACATGAAAGCGGGCAGTCAGCGAACCAACTGAGGCGAGTTCTTCATAACAAATTGCTCGCGCCACACACACACACACCCCTTGACGAGCAAGAGGGTGCAACTATAAAGAATTCGCGAGGAAGTCAATGATTTGACGACCACATAATCCCCGACCAAAATAATCGTCCCTTTTTAGAGCAATGTCTCCCTGATAACCAAGTTGGTCTTAAGTCATCACTCTTTCATCTAAGAGTAATAACTTGGGGGCTTCTGTTCTGGGCTGGGCTGAAACTTGGCCCACCGTTGAGTAGGCCCAATCCAACGCCTCTGAAGCCCAATGGCATCCAACCCACGTTAACAACCATTGGGGATTTTCCCAACTGTCTCTTAGGCGAACGTGGCCAACAACTATCTGTAACCACCACCACCCTGTCCACTGAGAATAACGGGTCCAACTTCCCTATTATCTCGGGGAAGTTGACCATGGAGGAGGCCACATATTGGACTCCACTACACACGTAACTCTGGCAGTCTTCTTTATTGGGCCTAATTGCTTAGCCCAATGCGTGGATCTTGGCCCAACGATGAGGGCTATAAATACTCCCTCACATGAGAGGATCAAGTATTCACTCCCTTTCTACACTTTCATTACTTGCACTTATTTTGAACCTTACTTTAACATCGGAATGTCTTGCAGGTACCCTCACTTCACTTCAACCACCATCTAATTTCAATTTATGAGCCAACGACGATCCCTTCTAATGAGGCACAATTATTTATTATATTTTCTTTAGCTTAAAATAGTCATGTATATAAATTGTTAAGATATACTTATTGAACAATATTGAAAAGTTATTAAAGAGATAAAACAAAAAAAAAAATTCGCTATCTTATGGGAAGTTTTGGTGAAATTAGGTTTTGAAAGGCAGGGGAGAAAGTTGAATTATGAACTAAAGTGCTTTATTTAACAACAACAGCTAAAGTTGCATTCTTATAGTATTTGAGTTAATATAAGGGCATCTTTAACATGGGTAAACTAAATGGTTGGTTTGTTATAGTTAATAATATTTATAGTTTATAAGTATTGGACCAAATCTATATGACAGTAACTAAAATATACTGTGTTTTTCATAGTCAACGGTAATTAACACTGTTTGCAAATTAAATAACATTAAAATAAAAAAAATCAATTGTACTTACCAATAAATATTGAATATGTGTAGTCAAGTTTGAATTATGTATAAACAACTACTATTAAAATAAATAAGTTAAATCAAGAATCTTTAAATCCTACATGACATTTTAGTCCCACATAAAAGACTTAGTTTACCCATTTCAATTGCTACCATTAAAAATTCTCTAAAAAGAAAAAAGAATTGCCTTTTCTGAAATTTCTAAATTTTATTTTCTTCCAATCTTGACCTTCTTTAAATTAATCTATTCAGTCAAATTTGTCACAATCGAACAATTTAAATATATTAATTTATTTTATAAAATTGAAGTAAATATTTTATATATTCAAATCAATTAATTTTGATATGTAAAAAGATTAAAATTTTTGAAGCATTTTAAACTTACAGGTTGCTCCTTTTAAAATTTTTGAGGGAAATTTTATCATCTATTGTGAACTTCAATTTAAAGAATTAGACCTACAATTGCGCGCAAACGATAATTGATTTCTAAAAAAAAATATTATAGATTTCTCTGTCAAAAATTATTTTGGGGACTCTTAATAATATAATGGGTGGAGAAAGCAACTCTCAAAACAAACATATGAAATTCTAAATGGGCCCTAAACCCAACCCACCTCTTTTGGGCCGGCCCATCGTAGTCATCGCTGCCGCTACCTGATCGTATCAGTATCCGAAACAAGTTTGATTGGGGATGCACTGAACTTAACTCGCCGTGAAAATCAAAATCTCACCGGAAATCCCAACCGGAGTTGTCGGCAGCGCCGTAAAAGTGACAAAACGTCCAGGTTTTCCTTTTTTCCATTTCATTTCATTTCATTTTTCAGATTCTCCTTCAACTCTTCTGTAGCCTGCGAGGATGCGATTCTCATACTGTTTGGATGATGTTTTGTTTTAACCATATTTTGTTAGAATCACTCTTCAACAATTTCAGTGAACCAATGTGAAAAATCAAAATTGTAATAGTTGTTAATTTTTGATATTGTGTGAATGCATGGAGGGTGTTTGTGAAAATTCCTGACTGAGCGTTTATTATTATTAAAGGGGTTATGGCAGGCAAAGCTGCTGGTTCGGCGGCTAAGGTGGTAGCGGAATATCAGTATCCGTGGCGTGAGAAGTTAGCGAAATACAAGGATGAATTGGCTAAGGGAGTGTGGGGATACTGGGAGCTAGGGGCGTGGAAGCCGCTTAGTATTAGTGCTCGGCATAGGGCAAGACTTCGTAAAGAAGTACTTCTTGCTGGGGAAGATTGGACTTTTGATCCTGAAAGGAAAGAGATGAAGACGAGGCGAAAAGGTCATAAGGTTGATAGGATAGCAGCTGAGAAGAGGGCAAATACTGCTAGGTTGATGGAGAAGATGCCAGATATGTTGCTTGATTACAAGAAGAAAAAGTGGCAGAAGAAGATGAAGGAAGAAGACAAAGGCAAACTTTGATCGGGTATGCCTTTCTTTGCGCTTCGTGTATTCCTTTAGATTGGAAGGGTTTGTCACTAACTTTGTCTTGATAAAATGGATTTACTCATGCAATGTTGCATCTGTTAATTTTGGTTTTGTTGTAAGGAGTTTTTAGGTTTGATGGATAATTAATATTTTTCTTGTGTATTTCAATCTATCCATAATAACCCCTTTCAAGAGTTTGGCTTTGTGATTAACAGAGGGGAAAATGCATTATCCATGAATTTTATTATTACTTGGTTTTTCTTTTGAATCTGCTTAGCTGAATGCATGTTGGAAATTGTAATTGCCTATTGGGTACTCTTTGCTAAACTCCCTTATGCCGGCGGAGTTCTTAGGGATATTGTAGATTTCTAGTTATTTGTAATACAAGCTTGGGATACTGTCATGTCATTTGTTCTTATATACACCTTTCCTCAACTAGTTGGCTTCTATTTTGTGGGTGAGAGTAAAATGAAAATGCCGAGGTCCTAAAGCAACTGAGCACAATAATGGTATGTTTGGATACGCGTCCAAATTCCTATTTGCGCGTTTCAAGGCTCTGCCACCGTGAAAAAGAGAAGATACACTTCTGGGCCAGATGCACATTTGTTGGTTTTCCACTGTGGAAACAAACATACCACAAGTAAATGAGAATTGCAATTAACAGTTTTTTCATCATTGTGAATTTTATGTAGGTTTCGTCGTCTTCAGTTGTTTGAGCACAGGTTTTAAATATAACCTAAATTCCTTACGTTTGAGATCCACCTTCAACCTCCCCAGATTGATAGAGTCAGCGTCTCCATTGCCTTTGTTTGCTAGGTTTCTGTAGGATTCATTGTTGTAGATCGGTTGCTGGTTGTGTTGTCTGTGAACAATGATGTTGTTTGAATCAATTGGGAGTTTGATTAAAATGTGAGTTGTAGTGTGATATTGAAAAAGGTCTGCAAAAGTATGTACCTTGTTCAAAATATTCCATTTACATCTTTTGAAAATGGTCCACAAATAACTTTAAAAATACAGATGAGCAAAGAGGACGATAGTGATACAACAACCTGGAACCTCTTCGCCACTTTCTTGTTGAGTTTGACCGTCGTAACCTCACCTTGTCATTGCGGTCAACCATGTTTTTTTCAACTTTGGTTCCGGTCTCTCACACTTATGGCATGCATATCAAGCAGTACGAAATGAAATTGAATCGTAACAATACATTTAAAATAAATTTTATTTTAAAATGATTGTTATTTTTATTTTTTAATGTAGTAATATTATTATTTTTTTATTTTGTTTTTTGTTTTTTATTCTGTATATTATTTTTAATATATTAATAGAATTAATTTTATAAACTATAATATCTTATAACAATATTATTAATTTTTTAATATGTGTGTAAAAATCTTAAACGAAATTTATTTTGGAATGAGGAGAAAAATATTCATAAGTTATAGTTAGACGCATCCAAATGCTAAGTTCCGGAGGGGATTTGACCTTGACACCTTTAATGTTATTTAAGGCACTTTCCCAATTTTCAAAGAATCATTATAAAAATAGGTAACATTAAAATATCTTTAGAACACATGTTAAGAAATTTATAATTAAAATTTTATTTTAAAAAAAATAATAAACATTAATTATATGTTTGTAATAAATTACATACTAAAGAGTGTTTGTTTCAAGGTGTCAAAATTTATTCTTTGGAATTACTATCCAAGAAAAATAAATATAGGAAATTTATTTCAAGGTATTATTCTCAAAAATTATTCGACAAAAATTTTACTATTCACATAAATATTGTAATTTTTATTAATTTATTTAAAATATATATATAAAATTTCATGGGAATCTACTTTCCAATCCTTTAACATGGGAATAATTTCATAAGAATAATTTCATGGGAATAAGAGAAGTTATAAGAAGTTATTTTGTTCCTTGGAATTATTATAGTCAGAAATAATTTTTTTCAACCTTGTAACAAACATGGATTTCCTCACTTTTTACCTATGTATTATGAGGAATGTAATTTCTAAACTTGAAACAAACACACCCTCAATTTTTAAAATAATTTTTTTTTATTTAGTCGTTAACATGTGATTTAAGAGCATATGTTACTGTTACCTTAAAAAAATTGATAATCCATTTTAAATTTGGTATACTATTTACTGACCCATGAAAAAAATTCGCACTTTCACTGAATTTTTAAAAAATCGATGACTTTTTATTAGATTTTTTAAAAAAGTTTATGAGTTTTTATCATATTTTAAATTCGGTGCATTTCACATATTTCTAGGATATTTTAAAAATCTGATATACAAGATTTTAGATTATTTCTAAAAAAATCTGGTAGTTCAATTCATTACTCTCTTCTTATGCGTATTTGAGATGGAAGATTTTTCTACAAATTTTATCTAGTTCTTCACCATTGATTTTGTATATTTTACTTATATGTTTTATTTGAATTTTTAAAATTTTTAATCGAGTTATGTTATTTACGACTAACTCATTCATTAAATGTTTTAATTAATTGATATTTCTCTCTTCTACTAAAGTGTTATCATGGGCACAATCTAGTGGAAGACATTATAGTATTATTGTTGTTATCGTTTGTTTTAATATAGCAAATGGATAAAGATGGAAGAAAGATAAATTGATTATAGGTTGTGAGAAGAGAACTAAAAGAACCACAATTCCTCTCAAGTCACTTGTAATAAAAGAGTGAAATGACAATTTATGATAAGATTTAGTGAATGAGTTAGTGATTCCTGACTCATTAGACCGTTTAAAACCTGATGAAAGACAAGGCTTGGCCAGTAAGTCGTTCTTCTGAACCACAAAACTAGATTAGTCGGTTTACTATATGGATCGGATTTAGCTGGCTAAACCAAAAAAAAAATATTTGATAAAAGACAATTTGGGAATGAAATGACAAAATAACACATGACACTGAGGTTCATAATTTTCAATTTTTTAATATTATGGTATAATTTCAAAATTTTGGTACCAGCATTTTTGAAAATCTGATAAGAATTCATGGATTATAGGGAAAATCTGATATTTTAGGAAATATCTGTTAAAAACTCAAAAATTGATCGATAAATATGAATTATTTGTAAGCATATGGTATTTTGAATCAAATATCCGAACAAACACTAAGTTTTTTGAAGAATTAAAAAAATGATTATTTTTTATTTAGGGATATTATGATAAAATTGTAGGCAATGTGGGGTTTCCAAGAATAACATTGAGGGTGTCAGGTAAAATCCTCCAAATTCTCTCATATTTTTGCCAAATAAAAGAACAAAACAAGTCTAAAATTTAAAATTCATATTTACCCAAACCGAACTCATTCTCAAACTCAAATATCCATAATGTTTAGGGTTAGTTCAAATATTAATCCACAATATTCCTTGTTATGACAAACCAAAACACAAAAGAAACGGGAAATAATGTTTAGAGGATTGTTCGGATATAAAAATCTAGAATCTTTCCTATTAACACAAACTAGAAGCAATTCCAAAAATGGGAACAACAACATAAAATAACATAAATTTTTTCATTCATATACATAAAATATGTAACATTGCATACAATTTCGTTAACCTATAATTAACCTTACATTTCATCATCAAGAGATGGTTGAGAATGTTTCAACATCTTTAAAATATCATCGATAAATCTAATAAGTGTCGCATCCTCCTCAATCAGACTCTTTGTTTCTTAACAGTGAAATGTACTCCACATAAACATTATTTCTTCATCTGCCTTCAGTTCAAATTTGCTGAATTGTATCTTCTCTTTATTATCAATAAAGGGTGAGCAATAATCGAGTTTCAAAACTCTTCGATTGTATGAGTATCACAAGAGATTCTCTAGTTTGGATGTTATATCGACAAGACGGGTGATCCGTATGAACCTAAATTCAAGAGTGAGACTCTTGCCGTTGAAATAGACAAATGCGAGATACGAATGTTAAGACATTTTATGGTGATTTTATTATCAACATGAGAGACACCCATATTCATACAAGTTTTAGATTAATATAGACCTTAGAAACTCAATCTATATCGGGAGATATTTCAGATATTGAAATTCAAGTTTACCATTTTAAAGGCAAGTAAAATGGAATGCGTCTAAAATTTAAAATCTTTATTCACTCCTCGTAGGCAAAACCTATTAGACAGAACTTTTTTGTTTTTGACATTCTCAAACTCATTACTATAATAATCTTGATTGTAAAATATTATTTGAAAAAATAATAAATAATACTTTAACTATTATTTTTCTTATAAAAAAACCTATGAATTTATAATTAGTAAATGTTAACGGTATAAGAACTTGAATATTGTATCGGAATTTGTTATCTTTATTCTTGTAATGATGTACATATATATATAAGAGTACAAGGATCTGTATACTAATTACCTATAATTGTCTAGTCTATAATTGCCTATAGTAGAAATCCTATTTTAAATACAATTATGATACTATAATTGCCTATAATTGTCTAGTCTATAATTGCCTATAATAGAAATCCTATTTTAAATACAATTATGATACTATTTCCTGATATATTAATTGCCTTGAATGTCTTGATATTTGCTTTGACCTTCTTTAATGTGAATTATATGTGCTTATCCTTAACACCCCCCTCAAGTTGGAGGTGGGATTGAAATCTCAAGAACATCCAACTTGCCGAGTAGTCGTTTATAAGTATCGCCTCCAAGAGGTTTAGTAAATATGTCAGCTAGTTGGTCAAAAGATCGGAGATAAGAAGGGATGATAAGACCTGATTTAATTTTCTCACGAACGAAATGACAATCAATTTCAATGTGTTTTGTGCGTTCATGAAAAACTGGGTTTTCGGCGATGTGAATAGCAGCTTGACTATCACAATGAACGGTGTTGTACCCCAAAATTTTCCCTCCCATTTCTCATTAATTTCTCACCACCAAGCCTTTGAAGCTCAAGATCCAGTTAGGGTTTCATCTGCTCAAGACCTATCCTTGCACTGTGGACTCAAAATTAGGGTTGTGTTTGCACAAAGAGATTTTGACCTAAAATGCCTAAGATGACTTTCATGCCTCATATTGGACTCCCAAGTTTACCCATATCAAGTTTCAAGTCCTGATTCCAAGTTTTGCCCAGTCAATTGGACAGTTGACCTAAAAATCAACTGTATTGGGGAAAAAGTCAACTGTGGCCAATTGACAGTCAAACCTCATGAAAATTGACCCACATCAACATATTGGACTCACATGAACCATTTGATCAAGTTTGGATCACAATTCCACAAGAAATTTGATCAGATCACCAAAAGGGCAAAATGGTCATTTTTAGGGTTTTGACTGTACAAAGGCAATTTTTGACTGTTTGACCTAGCCAATGGCAAACCAAGCTCACACATGGACTCAAGGACCCCATGGAATTATCTTGACATGATCAACAAGCTCAAAAGATCCCAAGTACACAAGATTGACAGTTGAATTTCCCAGTCAATTGTTCAATTTTGACTGTATACTGAAAAGTCAAACTTTGACTTTTTGGTCAAAATCAAGAGTCAAGATTCATTTTTCATCAAAACATGCCAAATCATGAAACTTGTTCACCAAGAAATCACAAAATGCAATTTCAAAGAATATTAGGGTTAGAAATGGAATTTTTCATAACTTAGAATTTTTCTAAGTTATGAAAAACCCTAATTTTTTCCCAACTTTGCCCCACTTTTTCACCATGATCAATTTGGATTCAAACAAAAGTCCAAACATGAAAGTTGTAGCTTGTTGCATAATCTACAACTTTTATTCACAAAGTTTTCTCATTTGAAGCTTGTATCTCAAGTTACAATTTTTTGAATAAGGGCACTAAACCATTTTTAACTTTGTGAAATTTTAACCTATTTTGACAAGGTTTTCTACCCCACTTCAAGGCCATTTTCCATACACTTCCACTTGGAATTTCAATTTTCATTTCAAAGATGGATTGTAGTACACATTCCAAGC